GCTTTAATTTCATTCATGAATCTTAGCACCTAAGAATCTAGCATAAATCTCACTATTGATCACTTGGAGAACTGCATACATGGAGAAATCGGCTACTGATACTCGTTAGGTTAAAATTGATGACTCTTGTTTTACCAGTATAATGAATGGTTTACTTTAGCGCTAAACAGGAATGGATTCCACCAAGAAGTTAGGTGGTTATATTCACCAAAAGAAGAGACAAATAGTGAAGACATGGACTTCAAGTGGACATAAAGAAGAAGCCAGACAGCAGTGATGGTGGACATATTTAACCCGAACCAACAAAAAGTACTAATCACCAACAACAGGAGAAATCTAACGGAAATTACCTCTTTCACTCACGTGATCTGAACAGGATACTTTCGTGTGGATGGAGATTTCAAAGTCAGCCATATCCAGACGGTGTTAGAAACCAATGGGAAGAATCTGTTGCACCCAGAAGAAGGAAAATGAGCCAGGTCTTCAAGAGTAATATATAGTAAGGTTCAGATAGTTGGTGTCTCATGGAAAGCATTTTAAACCGGTGACTACAGGAGAATTTCATCAACTGCTGCCTTCTCTGGTTCAAGACTGAAGGTCAGGTAGTCGAGTGGAAAAATTCAACAACTAGGCACTCTGAAAATCGAATTAACAATCAAGAATCCCTATCGCCAAACTAACCATTATATGACGAAGGTAATGATGATGTATCGGATACACACTTTGATGACACCGTCGAACCCGAATAAAAAAAGACCTGTTGGAAGTGGGTCCGACGCTGGTGTAGGAGAGATCATGTTAAGTTGAGATAAGAGGTTGTTGGCGATCGTGAAACCAGCTGTAAAGCAGTTCAACGAAGCCCTATATTCTGCTCGGGAATAATAGGAATAACACTCATCAACTTATTTTCACCAAACAAACTCAGTGACTTCAAAATCAAGGAAAAGATTTGTTGAGATATAGTCTCAAAGTTATCGCCATGCAGTCGAAGAAGCATCGAAGCTGTGATTTCAAGTGAACATAGAGAAGACGTAGGTAATGAGGATAAACAACCCAACCAACCACTCACTATCAACAAAATAAATCTGAATGAGGTCACTCCCTTCACTTATCTAAGCAGCATCGTTTCAAATGCAGACATTTGGAAGGGATCAAGATATCGAAGCCGAACCAGACAGCCAGAATCTCAGACAGACAAGTCGGGCCTTCATCATTCTAAAATTATCATCATCACCCTGCAGCATACGCAACAAAATTCGAATTTTCTTCAACAATTTTCAGTCAGTTGGTCAGTTCGTCTATATGGGTCAGAGACTCGGTGTGTGCTTCACGAAGAGCATTTCAAACAGCCAACCATTGACTAACTGGTTCCATACTGAAAATCGGATGCCCCATTGATATGTATCCATATAAAATGTGTGTTTTGTTTGACAGTCTGATATATTTTGCTATGTATATATGGATCGATATTCCATTATAATTAGCCAATCATGTTAAGACTGTCTATTGATTTGTTCATTTTCAATATCCGCTCACACACTTGTTCGGACATTCACATATTGTGCTCTCACACACTTGCGTGACATGGATTCTCCTTGTGTTTTGGAAAATAGAAGTATCATCGCAAACCTAGTGGTCTTCTGATTTCCGTCTTTCTTGCATCAGGACTATTAAATTCTCGACCAGTACATAACACCCATGGAAAAAATTAGCGACAAGAAACTCTTCACACTGTAATGAACCAACCAAGAACCTATTGCTCAACATGTACATAGGAACATGAAAATTCCCATTGAGTCATATAGAAGAAAAGCCGTTCAGCGAAGAGTTACTAATCTTTTTGGCAATATCATACCCAAGCTGTACAATCGCAAATATATATATAGTTAATTATCTTAGCAACAAAATGAATGTAATTTGTGGATGGTGACTAGCAGTGTAATGCAGGACGCACATTTCGTCTGATTTGAGACTCGTCTTCTGGTCTACGTGCATTTCCCAGTGAGTGATGATGTTCCCACCGAGGCTCGAACCAAGTTCCCATAGTTTCAAATACCAAAGCGTTACCCACTAGACCACTTGGGCCACGAGAACTGGCCACCTCTTGTGCAACGGGACATATTAATTTAATTAAATTTTGGATTTTCCCATTGATTGATTCGGCCGAAGTGCTCGGACTCAGGTCGACATGTCGGCTTTTTGTACAGATGCTTCCACAATGTTTGGGCATGTAATTATAGGTTAATTGGTTGATAGTGACTAGCAGTGGATTAGGAGGAAATGCGCTGTATCCTGGATTCCGCTACTGGTCACCATGCAAAAATTAAATTCTAATTAAATGCCCCAGACATCGACGAAGCATCTGCCAAGAAGCCAGCATGTCAACCTGAGACTGAGCACTTCGGTCTAATCAATCGACGGGGAAATCTAAAATTCAATTAAAACAAAACGAATGCTTTAAAAAATTTCTATAGAGAATGAAAGACCAGATCTAAAACTGCAAATCTGATCTTTCTTTCTCTATCGAAATACTTCAAAGATTTGCCATCAGCATTGTAAATTCTTAGTTAACTAATTACGTAATACAGGAAGCGTTAATCAAGTAGACGCTAAAGTAAAATTATTGGAATTGTAAGTTTTAGATAACAAATTTCGCTAATGAAGATTAAATTAAGCAAGTTGTTATTATGTACTCGTCGCTAAATTATTGTTATGTACTGGTCGAGAATTTAATAGTCCTGACGCAAGAAAGACGGAAATCAGAAGACCACTAGGTTTGCGATGATACTTCTATATTCCAAAACACAAGGAGAATCAAAATGTCACACAAGTGTGTGAGAGCAAAATATCTGAATATCCGAACAAGTGTGTGAAACAAGTGTGTGAGAGAATATTCAAAATGAACAAATGGCTAATTATAATGGAATATCGATCCATATATACCTAGCAAATATAACAGACTGTCAAACAAAACACACATATTATATGGATATATATCAGTTGTATAGTGATGAAGTCTAACTAACGGGGTTGAATAGAGCTCAGCTAAAATTAAAAATTGAACTCAAGTCAAGTTTGCAATCGTGTGAATAAGAGGTAGAGATTCAATCAGGAGTGGCGGAAGAAAATATTAAACAACTAAGAAACAAACAAATAAGAAAACCCTGGGAGTACTGGACAGCTGTTTCGTAATAGTTTGGGACTCTTCATCAGAAGGCACCCGCCGGGGTTCGAACCCAGGACCTTCTGGTTACAAGGCCAGCGAGCTCGTAGACCATTAAGCCACTGGGACTCGATCCGATGGCCCGTGAATTCTAACTTCTGCCAATTCATGACATAGAGCGCCACTTAGCCAATGTATTCGGGTGCGTACTGCTGAAGAGTCCCAAATTAGGACGGAACAGCTGGCTGTCCAGTACTCCCAGGTTTTCTAATGGTTCTCTAACCAATGTCAGCTCATGATGAAATCCTGTAACCAATCAAACCCCTACAAACCAACACTTAAATAAGAAGAATTTTCAAGAGTTGCTTTGTAAGGATTGGATATGTTAATATGAGCTTGATATCAGTTAGGGAACCATTGAAAACCAGTACTGGAGTACTGGACAGCTGTCTCATTGTATTTTTTTCGGAAATCACCGGCAGTACGCACCCACCAACCGGGGTTCGAACCCAGTAAAAAGGAATTTTAAACTTTAAATTTATTAAAGCTTTAAACTTTGGAAAAGTCTTTGATTTTCTTTGTCCTTTTTCCCCATGACAAGCTCCCACCCCCCCAAGGCATGGACTGTTTCTATCCCTCAGCCAACCACCCCACCACTTTCTACCGTTTTGGACATAAAAAGGGCGAAGCAACAGTTCGTTTTATTATGAAAATCAACACGTATTTATACATATTTCAACTACATTATTATAGACAAGCGCAGTCATCTGATTGGTTGTTTAGGTAGACAAACGCAGGCTTCTGATTGGTTGTTTCGGGATTCCTTGACAAATAGAGTTCTCTATCTGCGAATCATATTTTGCCACGTTAACTTTGCTGTGATTGGTTGTTGACTCAGCCTTGTTCCTATTTTCTCACGGCCCATATTAGTGACCTAGACCTTAACGTAGATTAGTGCCAACCAATCGGCTAGCAGCCTGCTCTCACCACACCAGTACCTCCGGGTTACAAGCCAAGCTCGTCTACAATCCAGCCCCCGGGAACCAATTCAAAGGTCAGGGCATGAATTCTAACCTCTACTAATTCGTGATTTAGTGCGATCACCAACCAATGTCGTCGGTGGGAAATCCGTCCTTACACTCAATTGGTCACAACTTCTCACTAGAAAAAGACGAAACAAAATTTACGTATTTGATGTTAAGATAGGTCAGGTGCACTGTAGATTTAATTACCTAACAAATCACTTCTTTTGTGTATGTGGAGTTCAGGCTTTATTATGTGAACAGCCATTGCTTCTGCGGGGTTTGAAGAAGTATGATGTAGGGGAAAATGCGTTTGGATTGGGGGATACGCTGAGAAGACCGTACGCCAGGCCATAGGTATGTAATCCACTCGAAAACCCATGTGCGTCGGTGGCACAGCGGTTAGGATGCTCGCCGACCATGTACATGGTCCGGGGTTCGATCCCCGGCCACCGACGCACTCCTTTATCTTGCTAGACCAGAAATGAAAGCTGGTAAACAGGAAAGGTTGGACATGAGGCTGGCTAGCAATCCCATCCTGTAAAAATAAACACCACTGCTACTGAAACTTCAAGCCACTAGACTGGAGCCCTATGTTCCACTGGAAACGTGTAGTCGTCCACATACAGGCATTTATGTAAACGATTCGTATAATGTGTTGGCAAATAACTATTAATCTCACATTTAATACTCTTAACAATGTTAATACAGTCACAGTAAATTGTTATGATTTTTCTGAAATACTTTCTTCTTTATTTTATTTTTCAATCAATACGCACACACACACACACACACACCTCATAATTGAATATCAGCTGGTAAATCGAATTCAAAGACACGTCTCACTCAAGGTGATCAGTTGAATAGAATTAAGGCAATGCGACGTCAAACTCATCAACGTACAACGGATCACCATCATCATCATCAACATCCTCATCATAATAGTAGTACTCCAAACTATAACAAAATAACTTGTAGTTATAATAATTTAATTGATAAAATGAATCGTGCATCCAGTGGTCCAATAGTCTGTAATGATGACCAGTCAATGTATCGTATGATATCGTCATGTACTTCATCACTGACCAATATCCAAGATGTTATAATGCCTCAGTCGAAATTAATCCAATCATCTAGTGCTGACAATTTCAATATTAACTTTGTCTATCCAAATACTAAAGATGATGAACAACTTGAAAGTGCCTCTCCTGTAGATGGTAGTCATGATTCATTAAGATTGAAATCTTTACACCCTAAATTAACATCTCCAACACCTGTTGGTCATTTACGGCTTTCACGACATTCTAATCGGCGGTCAACAAGTCGGAATATCGGTTCGATTACAGTCAAAGTGAGGTGAGTTGGTCTCTTGTTAAAATTTATTTAAACTACATTTTTTTGTTTCGTTTTTAACTTGTTGTGATCTATCAAATGAGACGTGTTGTTTACAATCCAGGTAATTATTGTTGTTGTTCGAAATCAACAATTATTAGTGTTCTATTTTTTGTTACTTAAATAGGTTATAAGTTGATCAACAGAAATAGATTATAATAATAATATAATAATAATAATAATGATTTACTTTATTCCAAAAACAGTACTTGTGACACAGAATGGAATTTTCAGCATTAATCACAATATTGTTGCATCTAATTTCCTCAAATTATAAATAAAAATAAATCACACAGAAAATGGTCCACATTTACAAAAGGGGTGGGTAATGTCAAAAACATGCAGCATATAAAATGAAAATAATAATAATAATAATAACAGTTAAGGTAATAATAATACAAGTGAAAATTGCCGTGGGCTTGTTTCACACAGTATTGTCAATGCGGTATAGAAATCATAGCATGTTTAAAAATATTGAATATAATGTTCTCTTTACACGATGATGATGGTGAGGGGAGAAACAAAGAGTACAGCAGTCCTAGAGATAACTTGGTTCTTGCAATTATGAGAGTAAAACAAACAAAGAAGCAACAGGACCATAAATATAATAGAAATAATAAAAGTGAAAACTTCAAGGTATATAAGGATGGATGGATGAAGGAAATTGTTTATTCGCTAAATGAAAAAAGGTTAGTTAGTTCTTGCCTGACGCTATTTTCACCACATAAAATACGTGCCAAGTATGGTATCATAGAATTCTTATACTTAGACGTCAGAGCATACAGTTTTCAGAGGTTACTTCTTGTTCTACCTTAGGAGACGCAAGGTGAAAGCTCCAAGTCAGACAAAATTCTATCTACCAAATTTCTTGCTTGAAGTCAAGTGCCTATCGACAACGACGCTAACTATATGGTCCACTGGGACACCACTCACCCTACTCACCGTCTACAGCATTCTACCAATTGTCACTTAGTGCTTTTTAAGCAAACCAGGAAAGAATAAGGGTGGACAATAAAGAAGAATAGGTAGGATGTAAGAGTTTATGAACTGTAAGAGGAGGGGCTGATTTATACCCGAGTGTCTTAACTTCTTAATGTAAAATGTTAGGCGGAATATTTTATTGGAGATTGCTAAGACATGGGAAGTCCAGAAGAGATCAGATGAGAGAATAAGTCCAAGATACTTAATTTCTGATTTGATTCCTAAATCATTGTCGTCAGTCTGACAACTGTCATGAGAATCGACCTCTTTCTATTAACTAACTGTCTTTTACATCTTAAGCTGAAATTAACAGTTTGACATTTAGAAGGATTCAGTTTAAGACCGTTAGACTCAGACCATTTGCTGACTCCCGACAGAAAGCCATTATTTCTTAGTCTTTTTAATTATATCCTATGTGATTATTTAAAACAAGCAACAAAAGTCAATAAAGCAGGATTTACTGAATTCATCAAATTTCGGCAGAACTCGTCAGCTGAATACTTTACATACACGGATATAAATACTTTTGAAATTACATTAGGGGATATAAGACTGATAAGTAAACAAACTACATTGAATTAGTCATGCAGGAAGATGACAGGTGCGAATGTTTTCCAGGTCATGTTCAAATAGATAAGGGGAGAGCGAGGGAGTATGAGAGATTGAAATTAAGATAAATTGTATTACGCTTCAATTATACATCACTTAGATAAACAATTAGACATTAGAGAACATAACAAGAATCGTAAACAAAGTAATATCAATAGTAATAGTTATAATAACAATTTTAATAGTGTTGAAGTGAGTTAAGATAATCCTACTGATAAAGGATAGTTTTAAGTAAATCGACAATAATAATAAGAGGTAGAATAATAAGTAAAACGTATTACCCTGGTGGATTCAGAGTGACGACCATCTTCTTTTGCACAAAGAGACCTGGTTCATAAACTCGAATTGCACAAGCCTCTGCAATTGCATGCACCTTCATGTTTCTTTGTTTGCTGACAATAATGAATAACTTAACAGCGTCAATATCATGCCTATAGTCCACAAGATGTTTTGTTACTAAGGTTTTTAGCATTTTGCATTCAGTTGTTTTCAACCACTTCGGCAAATGCTCCATCATGCGAGTAGACAGCTGCCTTTCTGTACAACCTATGTATTTGCTTCCACAAAATTGATAAACGTAGTTAGAAGTGTCGAGGATTGGCGATTGGTCTTTCCCAGATTGTTGAAACACACTCCCTTGGTGGTGTTAAGGAAAACAAGTTTTGCAGCATAATAAGCTCTCTTGATAGCTCTATCAAGTCTTCGTTTGACAACTTCTTGTACATCATCTCCTCTGAATGGCAAACTGATATAAGCTGATTTCTTCGGGACTGTTTGGATAGTTTTTAATTGGGGCTCATTTCTTTAGAGTATTTGTTAATGAACTTATTAGGATATCCATTCCTAGATAATACATCCTTCAGAGCTCAATTATACTGTCAAGACAAATTTTCCATGCTCTATTGAAAGGTGTTCTGACTAAGTTCTTTTTATACTGGATTGGAACATAGCTCTTGAAATGCATGTACTGTCCTGTCCATGAAGACTTTCTAAATATAGGTCTTTCGATTGTGCCATCAGTCTTTTTCGCCAGAAAAACGTCTACTAATTTAATAGTGTCATTTTCTTCGTGTTCTATTTTGAAATTGAGATTCTGGTGGCGTGAATTGAATTTATCAGCATGAGATTATCATTGTTGTCTTGAGTACCGAGTGGAGCCTAGGACTTAGACAGCACATCTTCACTCTGTCTCGTTCTCTTCAATCCTCTTTCGTCGGTCCGACTATGATCTGTAGGCTTTCATCTGCTCTATCATGATAAGCCTAGGGTCAACTACACGTACCCCACGTTGTTTTGTCCATTTGGCTGCCACATTCTAACGATGACCTGAACTGTGCTCGTGATGTCATTCTCCTCAGTGTGTGTGTGTCTGATATATCTTCACTTCTTACGGAATATTTGTTGTTGACTCGTTCGTGATAGTGCAGAGTTCTGTACTGTCAATTTTTTTGGACTGACCAACCATTTGATCTTCGGTATGGAGCCAGTGAAGGTGCATGTCTCTCTGTCTGTTTTCGACGTAGAACTTTGCACCGACGTGCGGCAGTTCAAGTCACCACACTCCATGTAGCACACAAAGCAAGAGAAGAAAGTAGAAGAAATGCATAACAGAAACAGTAAATAGAGGTGTAAGACAAAGGAGTAGTAACAATGAACGGAGAACAATATAGTTTCATTGGGAATCATAAGTCACAAGGAGTGGATGCATCTGCACCAGCCATCACCGAGAACGATTTTGAGCCATGTCACCAATTGTTTCCAACCATTGGTTTTTACCGTCGCGAGGACCCCAACGAGGAAGTCTAATCCTTCGTGTCCTAACCATCTCAGTCGATGTAATTTCACAGCCTCATCGATTGATTTCCCCTGCTTACCTAAAACTCGACAGATGCCTCACCTCAATATTGCTCACCATATTAAACCACTTCACACAGGAGATAGAACGCAGACACCTATAATCAAAGACAGCTAGCCAGCTTTTTTATGTCTTCCATTCTCAATGGCCAGGTCTCACAGCCAGCCATGAAGCAGGACAGAGAGGACTGATGAGCAGTACACCCGACCTTTGGTCGATAGCCAGCCAGATATCACGTCTATACCAGAGACGGTGTAAACTGGCAAATGCGAAACTAGCCCTCTTTATCCGTACTCAGCTGAGATTTCGTCAGAGATCAACCCGTTGGCGTTGGCTGATGGTGCTTCCCGAATAACAGAAGTGATCAACGCGCTCTACCACTTCACTCCCTATTTCCAAACTATGAGTCAGTGTAGTCCAGTCCTGTAGCCTCATCATCTTGCATTTGGCGGGAGCGAATCGCATGCCAAACATTCGTAGATTACAGCTCAAGGAATTTAGAAGACTCTGCATTTTATCAGCGTCCCAGCCTAGAAGGACTATATCATCTGCATATTCTAAGTCAACGAGATTATTCCCTATTATTATTTTTGTGACACACGCACCAAATTTCTCAGTCATACATAAATTTACTGTTAGTAGTAGCACGTAGCACACAGAAAAGTATCAACAGATACTACTGATCGTCGCCGTGACTTTTTTCAAGTTTATCTGTCTGTAGTCATTCGTGTGTTTGTGAATGTGTGTGTGTGTGTGGGTGTAGTGAAATCTCAGAAATTCATTTCCAAATTCTTATTTACACATTTAGAAAAAAAACGACAACAGATTGAGCGCAGAAATATGCCTTCCTTTTCAATTATCATTTCCCCAGCATCATTGGCTCTACACTAATATTATAGTTTATTACATCAGAAATTTTTTTACCAACCAAGTGGTGGTTAGTTTACTCCATCAATTTGAGGTATTGTGTGTGTGTGTGTAGGGTGAGGGGAGTGAAATTAAGGCGTGTAAAAAGTCATCAAAACATCAACTGATTAATAGATGTGTTAGTAACAAGATATGTAAGTTTCGATGGAGAGGAATTTAAGATAAGTTAGCTCCTAGGCGTTGGCAACAAGTTATTACATAATCAAGAAATTTTGTGAAATACCAATGATGACAAAGAAGAATTACGCGAAATACAACCAAGTTAATAGAACTGGCTAAAATTGTAGACATAATAAAATAACAAATTCAAAACATAATTACTAGAGGAAGGGAAAAAACTGTCTTCAAAAACTTAATTACATATTATGTGTTCAAGTGATGGACAAATACTCGCCAGCGAAGACATTGGCTAGCGGTTGCGCTATGTCGTGAATTGGCAGAAGTTAGAATTCATGGACCGTTGGATCGGGCCCCAGTGGCTTAATGGTCTACGAGCTCGCTGGCCTTGTAACCAGAAGGTTCTGGGTTCGAATCCCGGTGGGTGCGTACTGATGAAGAGTCCCAAACTGGGACGAAACAGCTGGCTGTCCAGTACTCCCAGGTTTTCCAATGGTTCTTAACTAATGTCAGCTCATGATGAAACCCTGATACATATTATATAGTTGACCATGGCAGGGAAAGGGGTTGTAGAAATTTCTTTTGAACTGACGCACAGATTTGACTTGTTCAGATGAATTCCGATAGCCTTCGCTGTATGTGTAAAAGTCGAACTCGTAGACCATGCTAAAGGTTGGGTTGGTATACAATAAATAAATTTAAAAACTTTGTTAGATTGAACTTGATGTCCAATATTGACGAGATGAGCTAGTATTGAGCTGCGTATAGCACAGCTTCGCAAAAAAAAAATTCAAGATGGAAGTAGGTGGTCAGAAATTAAACGATGAACTTGCTTGATCGTACACCCACATGTAACTAGCTGTGCACGGGCAGTTAGATTGGTAAACACACATGGAAGAGATCGGAAACAGGCAGTCTGTCTTTATTGTTTGAATTAGGTATTGGTCAGCTAGTGAATATACGCAGCAGTCCTTTTGAAGGTCCTTGTCAGACGTTGTGATAAGATCGCACTATTGACTATCACCCGTGAATTGTAATCTTAGGAAGGTTGACTTTTTGGGGATAGTCGGCAACTTTGTTTGTTTAAGAGTTTAGATGAACATCCGTTTCTACTGGATAGGTCATGAATATTATTTATTTAAAGAGATAACCCTAACTGGGTGAATCAACCAATCACTTTTGTATTGTAGAGACATGGAACTCAGGAAGCGGAAGATGTATGGGTGCCTTAAGGCTATTAGCTATACTTTGATGATTACTACGAGCGATCATGTATCCATCATCTATGGCTTCATTCTTGTCTAGTCTACAAACTGGTGAATACTTGGTCAAATCACCGATAAGATAATTAAATTTTCAGCATCAAATGATTGGTTTCGTTTAATAATAATTTAAACAAGGCATATTTCTCATTTAATTCAATTTTGGCTTCACCGTTGATTAATTGATTGGATCGAAGTGCTCAACCTCAGGTTGACAATACCACCTCCTTGTACAGATCCGTTGACGATGTCTGATAATCCAACTTTAAGTAGATTGGTGGATGGATGGTGATTAGCAGTGGATGGAATCCAGAATGCACATTTTATCCTCTTTGGAACAGACATTGTTGAAGCGTGTCTGCCCAAGGAGGTGGGTGACATGTCAATCTAAGGCCGAACACATGTCGTCTCAGTCAATCCAACGGGAAAGTCATCTAAACTGGATTCAATAATAACTGAGATACTCGTTGAACAAGAGACTTGGTAGTAACCCTCGAAACCTAAGTGGTCTAGTGGATGATGCTCTGGCTCTGAGGGAGGGGGAACACCACGACTCACTGACTCACTGGAGAATACAGGCACATTCAGTCCCAAATAGAGCGAAATGTACACCCTGGATTCCATCTAGTGCTAGTTACTATACTATCGATCAAACTATATCAAGGTGGATTCTTTTTAACTGTGTTCTTTCCTTAAAATTCCTAATCATCATTTTGTATTCAATTATAGAAATAAGTTTGGAGTTAAACGTACAAAACCTACTGTCACTGTCTTCTCTGATAACATCAATGATGACAATAATAATAATAATAATAATGGAGGAGGAGGGGAAGCAGGAGGCGGGGGCTTGAGTGAAGTGAATGACAAGTCGCCGGCTAACTCATCATCATCATTACTATCACCGTACAGAACTGGTCCACCAATCACAATAAACAATATCTCCACGTCTATGATAATGATGCAAAGTAATAATAATGCACCACTGCCAATGAAATCTACATTAGTGAAGAGGAAAAGTTCTCTAGGTAGTGTTGCACCTTGTGGTGTATTCACTGCTGCCGGTTACAATACACAGGGCAACAATACTCATAACAATGATGTAAATAACAATAATAATAATAATAATAATAGTAACAGCTCAGGAAATGCATATTTGCTGAATAACAACACCGTGAATAACAGATTAAGTGCACTGTACACCTCAAAATGGCTTCCACCATCGTCGTCTACAGTATCACCGAGTAGTCGAAATGGCTTCAGTGAATTTTTAAATTCAGTCATTGTTGATTATGGTGAGAAGGGTACTACCCAGAACACTACTACTACGAGTACCAGTAATACCGGTATTAGCTGTAATAATAATAATGATAATAACAATAGTATTGGTATTAAACATAACACTTCTACGTACAATTTACGCCGACACGCTCATCTGGAACGCCAACAACTCTATGCCCAAAAACCACCTGAACTGATAAGACAGAAGCCACAAACGCATTCGTATAAACCGAAGACAGTGAAAGTCTTGCCACCGGATAGAACACAGCAAATCTATTCACCACAGTGTACTCCAGTTCCTCTGTCGTCTTCCTCTAATTGTAATAATACAATGAAATGTTCAGAAACGAAGACAGTTCGTCTGCCTATGTAAGTTGCTGTTATTGTTTTGTTTGTTTTTTCCTGTTCGCCAATATTAGTAGTATCTCACTGTGTGTGATGGTATTTAATTAATTTGTTGTTTGGCTGTCTGTTTGTCTACCTTCGACGCATTTATTCCCAATTTTTAGAGTTTACATAGTTAATATACATGTGTAAAACATGTGGTAGTGAGTAAATCCATATTAGTCTGTTTATTATAGATGTATCACACACTGTGGGGGACAGTATTATTATTTACTGGATGACAACGTTTCCAACAAAATTTATTGTTCATAGTCATATCAACTATAATCACACGACTTGTGATAGCGATGATGATAATAATGATATTAATGACGGCATACATGTCAAACATGCTCAACACAACACCAACATTAAGGAATCTAAATCATCAGTAGTACTTCCATACAAAGAAGGAACTTCGGAAACCACCTTACGCAGAATTCTTAACAATGCCGGCTGGAATAAAAGTGGCTGGCATTCAAACTGCCCACAAAGTCAATTAGAAACAAGCTTGGTCGGTTAAACGATCAATCCTGTGAAGCCTTTAAAACAAAACAATTTAGTTTATCTAATATCCTGCCTGAAATGATTGTCAGGTCAAATACATACGTCAAAGTAGTAGAACAGGGGCAGTTAGTCAGACTAGCCGAACATAGAAACCTAGCAAAATCTAGATTAGTTGACCCGAATAAGATAAGAAATCTAGAGAATAGTTCAGCCATAGCACTCACTACAAGCAATTACACACAATAGAGCGATACAATAGGATGGGATGGGATAAGATGGCAGTTTTAAAATGTAATGTCACAGGGTGGAGAGACAGATTGACAACAGAAGCTTTGTTTATCGAATCAACTGCAAACACGTGTAATGGGAATGATTCAACACCTGTCCACCCAGATATCTGGAAAATCCTACTACCCGAACGATGACGAATAGGAGAGAATAAAGAAGACTATAAAACTCAAGTTTCGACATTGTGTGGTTATAATTTTTTTTATTTATCTTTGATTACAGCTTGATTCCATACTGTATTTTTGATACAAGTATGGAATTTTCAGCGTGGATATCGGTAGCTCAAATTTTGCAGGCCGACCATAGATATCATGTGTGAGTCGGCAGGGGATCAAACCTCGGACCATGTGCATGGTCGGCGAGAGTCCTAACCACTGTGCCACCGACGCACAGATGATTATGAACAATAAAGTTTGTTTGGAACTTGTCATCGAGTAAATAATACTGTTTGACTGTATGATACATCTAATAAACAAACCAATGTGGAATTTACATAGTTACTTGTATCATTGTCATCATTAGTGTTATTAGTGGAGTAATCAGGTCAGCTATTCAACTGTTTAAATTCCAAGAAAGTAGGCATTCGATTTGGTTCAGTCAAAATATCTTGCTGCCATTCTCAGCTACAAAGTTTACTCTTGAAACAGAAAATAGATCTGAAATTCCTTGTCTTGATAGTGAACTTACAAGAAGAGCTGACGGAACTTTAGGAAGGTCCATCCATAGGAAACTCACATGTGTAACGGCCAACTGACAAACTTCTACATCTGGGTACGAATCAGTCGAAAAGAACAACCTAATTTGATCTCTTGCTACTCGTGTACGACGCATCTGCAGCTCTGATACCCTGGAAGAAGAACTACACTTCCTGAAAGAAATCTTCATTCAAAACGGATATCCAAAAGCAAGAGACGCCATCCGTGCCAAAAAAGATACTTTATGTGAACCTCACTTTCAAAGGTGACTTACTCATTGATGTCCTAAAGACGAGAGTTTCCACTTCTTTAAGAAGAACTTTCTTTGCAACAACACTCAGAGTAGTGTTCTCCAGTCAGCCGATGATCTACAGAAGTCCAAAGGACAAAATCTCGCACCTGACCACTTCTATGTGCATCGGTGGTACAGCGGTTAGGACGCTTGCCGATCATGCCCACAGTCAAACTACGGGGTGGGGGGAAGTCAGATTGTCGGAACATAGAAATTTAGCTAAGGTAAGAATAGTTGACCCCGAGAAGATAAGTAATTTAGGAAAAAGCTCAGCAGTCGCACTGCACGCATTAACACGCAATAGGGTGGGACGGAGTCAAAATTCTAAAAGGTAATATAAGTGGGTGGAGAGAGAGTGATAACTGAATCCTTGTTCATCGAATCTACACCCAACACTTGCAATAGGAATGATTCATCACTCATACCGGAAATATGGAGAATACTACTACCAATCAAATCAAGCGATGGAAAATCATGGAATTATACAAACGAAATTAGAAAGTTGTGTGAATACCTTGATACGATTATGAGCAGTAATAAATTGTTCTCGAACCGGGGTCATCAGTAAAGATTACTGTATAACAACACTGTGAGGCTTCATCATAACAAATTTTACCCATGGTGGAATTATACTCTACCACAATGCACAAGTTTTATTCTTATATCAAAAGAAACTCTTCCCTGAACTACTGGTCTTCTCTCAAAATCTTTTACCTCCTTTCTTGGCTTTTATACATTTCTCTGTTTGTGAGTTTGTCAATTTACATGCGTATCCTAGGCTCACAAAGTGTTCTGTACTGCTGCTGTTCACAGAGTGCCTTCAACAATGTGATGAAATTATATGGATGTGTACGCATTCGAATAAAATCTGTGAATGTTTTTTTTTACATAGAACTGTAAACTACTGAATGGTGGAGATGAGTAGTTGTATGTCACTTATATCAATCAGTTGTGCTCGCGAGTCAGCCAGATAGGTAGAGGTGACCTAAACACCGGACTTCTGTTTCTCCCGTCTGAGGCTGAACTTATCATCGGTGTGTACCTGATTTGACTTGGCTCAGAGAGGGAGTGGAATTAACTGAAACCACCTGATTTCTCGCTAGCCATCTGAGCAAACTGGTGTTACCATAATTGAAATTCACAATTTACAGATTAATCAGGAATCTACACTATACACAGTTCTAGGGGTGGTGACATTTCAGCATAGTCGGGTGTTTAGATCATATCGACCTGGTTAGCAAGCACCACTGTTTGATAAGAGTGGTAAACAACCAACCACTCATCTCAATAAACCAGCAGCACATAATTTTATTTCCAAGTTTGACGACGGATCGATATAAGTTAGAAGACCATTGAAAACCAACAGGGAGTACTGGACACCTCTTTCGTCAACCTAGATTGGGACTCCTCAGCAGTACGCGCACCCACCCACTGGGGTCCCAACGCATAACTTTCTGGCTACAAGGAAAGCTCATCCCATGAATTCCAATTTCTACTAATTCGTAGTTTCAGCGTAATCACCAACCGCCACTGTCATCTGCCTGGTATTCGGTGGACCCTACTGGTCACGACTTCTGACCAGAACTCCCTACAGGAAACTTCGTCCTGTAACCAGTCACTAGCCAACATCAGCTCAATTTTCAAGAGTTAGTTAGCTGGATTACCACTTATGGTATCAAGCAGATCACATACTGTGATCTAGATAATTTGAGTTTACAAGTTAAAGGTAAGTTTAAATATCAAAACGGACGTTTTTTCAGTAAACTGTCTATATAACTAGATGACTCATAACTTGTATCAAAACTGTTTCTGAGCGAGTTGATGGTACGCCAGTTGTTATTTAACGCGGCAACCTACAGTTTTGAAGAGCTTGCTGATATGTATCCGCCTCCAGCTATTCAACCCCACTGACAATAGTGTAAGTGGATGTGGCTTATCCATCCTAGGTTCTAATCCCACTCCACCAACTACGTCAGCCTTGACAAGTGGTCAGTGTCCATTAGAGTACTCACATAGTGATTTTCTGAGCAATACCACAGTTCATACATTTAACATTGAACAATCAAGCCTATTTGTCCTAATGTAAACGTCAAAGTGAAATGAGAGTTTTAATGACGTTAGTTACTGCTTAGTGACTAGTCAGAGTATTTGTTACAGTCGGACAACAGGTCAAACGTCAGCCCGAGTAGACCAATGGTAACGCCTTTGATTGCATCACTGAGTGACGCGGATTCCAATCTCACAAGGACAATGAGTTCACCTTCAAGACACTGTGGATACGCCTTGCTGACTGATGGCGAGTGCCAATTGGCACGAAAACTAGGTCTATGCAGTGCTTACTTCCGACTGCCTCCAACCATCTAATAACAACAACACTTTAGAGTGCACTGTCGTGACAAGCCACTCAGCATAGTAGCCATATTGTAAACTTGACTGATAGAATTCAATCTGCACCAAACGAAGGACTAGACGCGTGACATTAGTTACTATCCAGTGTCAGGTCAAAGTCGTTATTGTGACGGAACGAGACAAGAGATTTGGTAATCGAATGTTTATTTGAAATCTGATATACACGTATAAGGAAGCTATGTATATCTTAAATTAGTATAATCATCATTTACACAGATCTTCCGTGTTGTGCACCGCTTCTGCCCTTCGCGTATTGTGTTTCTTCGTGTCTTCTTTTTTTTAATTCGCGGAAAATACCCATTAAGACATTGAAATAAGAACAAATTAGTTCAGCGAAGAGTCTCTTTTCGGCGAATTCATTCTCTTAGCTGTACAGTCGCAAATATATACAAATAATTTTGTGTGTGTGTGTGTGTACATAAGGTTTGTCAAAATCAAAATCAAAATAACAGTTAGTGTGGGTTGTTGATTACATCATCAAAATAATAAAGAAATTAAATTGTGTGAATAGTAATCAAGTTGTAACTAAGTGGGGTGGGGATTGGTAAGATATGTGTAGGGTTACGTCATCAAAATAATATAGAAATTAAAATGTGTGATTAATAATCAAAGTTGTAACTAAGTGGGGTGAAAATTGGTAAGATGTGAGTAGGGTTACGTAATATAGACAGGTTTAGAAAGATTAAATGTTCGTGAAGGAGTATGGAGATAATTATGAAAATAAACTAGATAATAGGTGAAAAGATTGAATGAGTTAGTTACTAAAAATTATTATACGAATATTGCAAAAAAAA